TTTAAATGTTTTAAATGTTAAGCTGGCTCAGGTAAACCAGTTTTATTAGCAGTGCAATAAGCTCCACAGAAGAGATGGAGCCAGCTTGGGTAGCGAGTTCCATTCAGGGTGCTGCTGCTGCAGAGAAAGCCCTGTTACATGTGCATTTGAGCTTTTATGTGGCGTTGGGACACACAATAAGGCCACCTCTCAGGATCTCAGATTCTGGGGAGGCTCATCTGGGAGGGTGCAGACTTTCAGATCTCTTGGCCCCAAGTTGATCAATGTTTTTGTAGGTCCAAACCAGCACCTTGAATTCAGCTTGGAAACAAATTGGAAGCCAGTGCAGTTTTTATAAGACCAGTGTTATGCACACATGGCATTTGACGACGGCTGCTGCATTTTCCCATAGTTGCAGTTTCCAAATCCTTTTCAAGGGCAGCCCCATGTAGAATTTTTTTTTTTGGCTATATTTCGGCTTTCAGAACTCTGGATAAGGGAGACTCATCCTGTACTTTCAGATATTCTTTCCACTGCTGCATGTCTATCCAGGAGCTAACTAAGGCACATCTGTTTTCTGCAGAGGAAACTTTTTTTTCTGTGCAGAAAATGCATTTTCTGCTCAGAAATCATGTAATTTCCTCCTCCCCCCGAATAAATCTCACGCTGTCTAAGATTTCCCTCATTGGGCTTTTCAGGCACTCAAGAATCCCATTTTTTATGGTTTTGGAATAGAGGATGCATTCCAAAATGTTTGGGATCAGAAGTGCTTTAGATGGGGGGGGGGGGGGATTTTGGAATATGTGCATGTACATAAGGAGATTTCTTGGAGATGGGACCCAAGCCTAAACATGAAATTAAGCTATATTTCATATACACTTTATACACTTAGCCTGAATGTAATTTTATATGCAATATTTATAATTATTTTTGGGCATGAAACAAAGTCTGTGCACCCTGAATAATCAGAAAGCAATCGTGTCACTATTTCAGCTGCCCATATAGATTCCGAAAAGCAAACCTAGATATTGCCATTTTCTCCAAGGGATACCATTTTACTATATCATTGCATTTAATGGGATTTGTGATTCCATGGATTTTGGTATGCACAGTGTATGTTGTGTGTGTGTGTCCTGGAATCAAAGGATACCAAGGGCCCACTATACATAGTTATGTATGTATATTTACACATATGAAAGTGACATACACACATACATATATACAAAATATTTTTAAAAATAATTTTGTGCACAAAACAAAGTCTGAACAATCAGAAAGCAATGGTGTCACTATCTCAGCTGCCCACATGGATTCCAAAAAGCAAACCTTGATTTTGCCATTTTCTCCAAGCGATACTGTTTTCCTATACCATTGCATTTAATGAGATTTGAGCTTCCATGGCTTTTCATATCCACGTGTATGTGAAATGTCTGCATGTCCTGGAACCGAAACCCAAAGGAATTTTTGGACTGTAGTTTTCAGTTTTACCTTGTAGAATTTTGTATACATTGCCTGATGGTAATTGTATACAAAATGTTTTTAAAAATAATTTTTGTGCTAAAAATGAGATTAATTTAAAATGGAAACCACTTTATGATTATTGTGGAAAAAAATGGGACGTTTGACTCTTCTAAATTTTACCTTTCATGTAATAGTCATGATATTATATAGGGAAGCATTTTGGAAAGAATTATTTGAATGGGTTATAAGGGTTAATAGAACACAATAGAAGTAGATAAATACTGTTTTCATAATAACAAAACAACATGTAGACACAGGTATGTCTTTAATTAATTTATTAATTAGTGCTACTTATAAGCATAACTTTTGTAAATCTTAGAATACAGTTACAAGAAAATGTGCAAAAAAGAAGAAATTACAAGAACAAATTAGTTAGTGGAGGAAGTGATACGGACAATCTTTCCGCTGGTGATTTCAATGTAATCTAAAAAGTTAATGCTCTTTATTTCTTATTAGTTGTGTAAGTTAATTTTCTGTACTTTTAAAGTTTGTATAAATAAAATTTAAAAAATAATAATAATAATTTTTGTGCATGAAACAAAGTTTGTGTACATGGAGCCATCAGAGAGCAATGGTGTCACCATCTCAGCCACCCATGTGGTCAGTTTTGGATGGTGGAGTATTTTGGCTTTTGGGATTCTAGATAAGGGAGATGCGGGGTGTCCTTTCAGATATTCTTTCCATTCTTACGCAGCACACAGTTCAGCTGGATGTTGTGAGAAAGAGATGGAAGCCGTCTGCAGCTTCCTTCTGCATGACCACTGAGACCACCGGCCGCCAGAGAGGGTGGCTTGCAAAGATTTGACCCCGTAGCCCTTGTAAGCCTTAAGGAACAAAACCATCAGGAACTACTCCACTTTCTCTCCCGTATCCCACTGCCATCCCCCTCTCCAAGCCCCTTTGCTGAGGTTTTGGGCCTCCCCTTTCCCCCTCTGCTCATCTTCCTTGCTTGCCTTCGGGCATCTTTTCCTCGCTGAACCAGTTTGGCAAAATACCTTCCCTTGGAAACTCTCTTTTTTTCCATCTGATCCCTTTCTCATTTAACACACTCTTCAGTCAAATATGCAATTTATTTTTTATTTTTCTTTGGGAGGCCCTTGTCTTTAAAAGGATATGAAGTTTTCTACCTTTAATTTTATGGCGGCGGGGGGGGGGGAATCTTATGCTCTCCGACCGCAAAAACTGTTGGCTGGAATTTTATCTTCCTCTGTTGCTCCTTTTTTTACATTTGCAAAGAGATGCATTATAGGATTCCAAAGAGATTGCAATATAAGATATTTTTTTATATTTTATGGAGTCACCAAAATATTAGTTGTAGTCAACCTTTAGATTTTAAACCTGGAAAAAAATTGGCTTTGGTAGGACATCTCAAATTTCTGAGCTGGTGGAGGAATTCTGAGAGGTGCCATCCTCTGTTCAGACTCCCCTTAAATCTGAGAATCCAAAGGGCATAGCATACCTTTCAACATTACTCAGATGTAAATTGGGACATGTGTTGCCAAGCCACATTAGATTAGGGTTGGGATGGCGAAAGTTATTAATGAGGTAGAAGAGACAAGCTAGGAGAGACTGCAGCAGTTTGCTTTTGTCTGAGCTGACTGGGAAGGGTGGGATCCCCTTCCTCTCCTCTCTTCCTTGCTAAGTTACTTATTTATTATCTATTTAATGGATTTATTTGCCCACTTTCTTCCAAAATGGGATTCAAGGTGGCTAATTTAATGTTAATGCAGCCCAGACGCCTTTTGCGCTTCGAAGTGAGTTTGCAGCAATTCAAGTAAGCTTTGGATGAAGGGGGGAAATGTGGGAGGAGGAGGGAGAAACTGGTACATTTTAAAAGCAGCTGAAAAAGTGGGATGACGGAGGTTTAATTGGGACCATCCCTGCCAAATTTGGGTATGACAGAATGTCACAGTCTGGCTTTAATGCTCACTACAGAACCCATGGGATGGCCAGTGTGGTGTAATGGTTTGAGTGTTGCACAATGACTCTGGAGACCAGGATTTGAGTATCTGCTCAGCCATAGAAACCCCCTGGGTGAACAGAGACAAGTCACACTTTCTCAGCCTCAGAGGAAGGCTATGGCAAGCCCTTTCTGGATAAATCTTGCCAAGAAAACCCCATGATAGGTTCCATAAGGGTTGCCATAAGTCGGAAATGACTTGAAGACACACAACAACAACTGTTGATATTATTTCTTCCATGTGCTGTCCGTCTTAAAGTCACACAACAACAACAACAACAACAACAATTGTTATTGTTATTATTATTTCTTCCATGTACTTTCTTTCTGGACACCACTTAGTAACTAAAGTTCATAGTTTGAAGCCTGATAGTTTGTAGCATGTAAGGTGTAGTGAGTGTTGGACTAAGGCTGCATCTACACTGCAGAATGAATGCAGTTTGACACCACTTTAACTGCCATGGCTCCATCCTATGGAATCCTGAAATTTGTCATTTGTTGTGGCACCAGCGCTCTCTGACAGAGGGGGCTAAATACATTACAGAACTACAAATCCCAGCATTTCATAGCCTTGAGCCGTGGTGGTTAAAGCAGTGTCAGACTGCATTGATTCTGGAGTGCAGATACAGCCTAGGACTTTGGGAGACTGGGGTTCTAATCCCAGCTCGGCCATGGAGATCCACTGGGTGACCTTGGGCAAGTCACACTCTCTCAGCCTCAGGAAGGCAAAGGCAAACCTCTTCTGAACAAATCCTGGCAAGAAAACCCCATGATGGGTTTGCCATAAGTGAGAAAAGACTTGAAGGTACACACCCACACCAACACCAACTGTGTGTGTGTCACTTTTTTGCCGTACCCCTTTGTGTATCCAAAAGCACAGAGACCTGCCTCCCTGACCTCTTTCTCCTGATTCGGCTGCACATGTTATTGGCTTGGATCCTGAGACATCCTCCCTGTTTCACCCTTCGCTCCACATCTTCAAAGTGCTGCGTGAGCATTTAATTAAAAATGATCTTGATCTTAAAGCAACACAATCTTGGGGCTTTGGCCTCGGGGAGATTGGAAAGAGAGCAAAGAGGAAGGAAAACCTTCACAGCATCACAGTTGGTCCTGATTCTTGAGCACTTGAATTTCACCTCCTCCTCTGCTACAGGTTGACTCTCCCCCTTTTCCAGAAATCTGAAATCCAAAATTCTCCCAAAATGCAAAACTTTTTTTCCTGGGTGGATGAGATAGTGATGGCTTTGTTTTCTGATGGTTTGGTGTACACTAACTTTGTTTCATGCACAAAATTATTTAAGCATATCATTTATAAAATTACATTCAGTCTATATGTGTAAGGTGTATAAGAAACATACCGGTAAATTGATTTTGTGTTTAGACATGGGTCCCATCACCAAGATATCTCATTGTGCACATATGTGCAAATACAGGTGTTCTAAAATCCAAAATAAATAAATAATCCTAAATACAAAACATTTCTGGTCCCAAGCATTTCAGATAAAGGGAGACTTAACCTGTATTTTAACCTGATTTGAGAGCCAGTGTGGTTTAGTGGTTTGAGTGTTGGACCTCGACTCTGCAGATCAGGGTTCGAATCATCACTGAGACATGAAACCCACCCTGGGAAAGTCACACTCTCTCAGCCTCAGAGGTTGGCAATGGCAACTCCCCTCTGAAGAAACTTGCCCAGAAGACCCCATGATAGATTCACCTTAGGGTAGCCATAAGTTGGAAACGACTTGAAGGCACACGACAACAAGACAACAATGATCTGTATTTAATTTCCTTTAAACCTTTCTATGGCTGAGGAGCTTTGAGATGAAAAAAATGCCTTTGTTTCTGTTTCATTCAGCATTTTGGGAGCATTTGGTGGCAATCAGAATGCTCCCAAAATCACACAAAGTGTATTGCGTGGTTGGAATGGTAGTTCTGTAATGGATTCCAAAACCCATTGTCCTCATGAGATTTCCTTAGCAATTTTCTTTAGAGGGGTTTTGCCATTGCCATCCTCTGAGGCTGAGAGTGTGTGATTTCCCCAAGGCTACCCAGTGGGTGTTTTTTTTTTAACTTAAAAAAATGTATTTTTGTTAGTTGTGTTTTTTTGTTGTTATTTGCCATCAAATCAACTTCGACTTATGGCAACTCTATGACACCTCCAAGATTCCTGGTCATGAACTGTCCTGCTCAGGTCTTGCAAACTCAGACCAAACTTAGGGGAATTCATCCACCCCTAGTGTATCCCTTCTTTTCCTACTTCCTTTCTGTTTACCAAGCAATATTATCTTTTCCACAGAGCCACACAAATTCATGATGTGTCCAAAGTTTCTTCAGTCATTGCAACTTTTGTTCAAAATTCTTTGCTGTTTTATGCAAGTTATATGGTTTCATATGCATATCTTAAATTGTTGATGTTCTTTCCCATTTTTTCTTATGACTTTAAGGGTGTTCTTTCTTATGTTTGCTTCCTCTGAATCGAAGCCTGCTTTCCCTGTAATGTGTTCTGCATATAAATTGAACAGATAAGGTGATAAAATGCAGCCTTATCTGAGCCCATTTCCAATGCGAAACCATGCTTTTTCTCCACATAGGTAGTTGTGTACAGTCAGATGTTGTGGCCTCCCATTTCTTTTAGAGTGAACCACTTCTCATGGTCTATGTCAGGGGTCGGCAACCTGCGGGCCGCACCCGGCTCGCCGACCCCCGCCGCCGCGCACGTCGCGGCCACCATTTTGTTTGCCAAAATGGTGGCCGCGACTCGTTTGTGCATGTGCAGTAGTCCTGCCATTTTGGTGGGGGGTCTGTGGGGTTTGTGCACGTGTGTGCGTGAGTGCACACGCTGCCATCCCCCCTCCGGCCCGGCGGAAGACTTGGGGACCAGCGACCAGCCCCAGGTACGTAAACCTTGCCGACCCCTGTCTACGTGGTTAAAGGCTTTGCTTTGATCTATGACACACAGGTTAGTTTTCTTCTGAAGTTCTTTGTTGTGGTCCAGTATCTGATATGTTTGCAATATGATCCCAAGTGCCTCTTCCTTTCCTAAACTCAGCTTGAGCATCTGGCATTTTTCGCTCTATGTAGGGTAAAAGCCTTTCTTATAAAATATTGAGCATCACTTTGCTTGCATGGGAGATCAGTGGGATATCTGATGTTACTACGATCCCTGGTATTCCCTTTCTTAATAACCGTATAGTTTTTGCTGTTGTGTGCCTTCAAGTCATTTCTGACTTATGGCGACCCTAAGGCCAACCTAGAGGAGGTTTATATTAATAATAAGTGAATATGATTTTTTATGGTTTTTCGGGCTATGTGACTGTGTTCTAGAAGATTTTATTCCTGATGTTTCACCAGCCTCTGTGGCTGGCATCTTCAGAGAATGCTGGCATGGAAGTGAGTGGGGTATATATATACTGTGTGACCCTTGATTGAGAGAAGGTGATTTACATGTTAATCTGTGTGTTGTTCTGTTGTTGAATGGCAGGGCCTCAGGGTGGGAGGATATGCAAGGAGGCATTGTGTCTATTTAATGAGTGATCCATTGTCTGCTGGGAAAACCCCTGACCCTGGGTGGTTTTCATTTGCATTTTGTTGTGTCTTGATTTTGGTGTTTTTCAGGACTGGCAGCCAGACTTTGTTTACTTTAAGGGTTTCTTCTTTCCTGTTGAAATTGTTTAGGTGTTTGTGGATTCCACTGGATTCCCTGTGCATTCTGACCTGATAGTTGTCATGGTCCAAAATTTCAGTGTTTTCGAATAGCATCTTATGCCTAGGATGGTTTATAAGGTGTTCTGCTACTGCTGATTTTTCTGGCTGACCCAGTCTGCAGTGTCTCTCGTGTTCCTTGATCCCTTGATTCGTGTTTGAACACTGTGTTTGGTGGACCCTATGTAGACTTGTCCACAGCTGCATGGTATGTGGTAAACTCCTGTGTCTGCGAGAGGGTCTCTCTTGTCCTTTGCTGAGCTCAGCATTTGCTGGATTTTCTTGGTAGGTTTGTATATCATTCCACTTCACAATAAGTAAATATGTTCATGGATCAGGAAGGAGCTGGATCTAATGATAAGAGGAGCCTAATAATGTACCTTGGTGACCCTTACTTTGGTGCCAAAGGCTGTTACCTGCTTTGTCCTCATAAGTTGCTCCAGGGTAACCTCTCTAGGTTTAGTCTCATTAGTCTCTTAGAATGAGAAAAGGGCTGATGTCTCCACTACAGACGTGGTCTTCAAAACTCTCAGGCATGAAGGAATTGGAGTAGAAGGGGAGAAAGCCATCATTCACCTGTGGAAAGAGAGGCACTGGGGGCCTCTAGAAATGGAAAATAAAGTCGGCTCTCCATATTCATGGATTCTGCATCCATGGATTCAACTGTCCACAACTTGAAAATATAGTATTCCAATTTTTTCTTCCAAAAAGCAAACCTTGATTTGGCCATTTTATATAAGTAATACCATTTTGCTATGTCATTGTATACAATGGGACTTGGTCGTCCATGGATTTTGGTATCCACAGGCGGGGGGGGGGAGGTCCTGGAACCAAACCCCAACAGATACCAAGGGCTCAATGTATAGTCACCATTACTCACCTCCCTGCCAAGACACTTGGGAAACCCAGCTGAGAAGAATCATAGAGTTGGAAAAGGGCACAAGGTCCATCCAATCCAACCCTTTGCCAATGCAGTATTAGATAGTCAAAGCACTCTTGAAAGATGCCTATCCAGCCTCTGTTTAAAGACCTCCAAAAAAGGAGAATCCACCACCTTCCAAGACAGTCTGTTCCACTCATAAACAGTTCTTACTAAAGTTTAGGTGGAATCTCTTTTCTTCTTATTTGGACCCTCTGGCATATGCACTACTCTGTGGAGCAGCAAAAAGCACACTCCATCTTCTCTACTTCAGGTATTTAAACATTTCTATTATGTCTTCAGTTCTCCAAGCTAAACATATCCATCTCACCAAGTCATTCCTCATAAAACATGGATTCCCGGACCTTTAGCGATCTGAGTCACCCTCATCTGGACACACTCCAGTTTGTCAATATCTCTCTTGAATTGTGGTCCCAGAACTGGACACAATATTCCAGGAAGGGTGACCAAAATGGTGAAGAGTTTGGAAACCATGCCTTACAAGGGAGCTGGGTATATTTAGCCTGGAGAAGAGATGGTTGAGAGGTGATATGGTAGCCCTGTTTAAATATTTAAAGGGATGTCATATTGAGCAAGCTTGTTTTCTGCTGCTCCAGAGAACAGGACATGGAGCAATGGATGCAAACCTCTCTAAATTCTATCTAAACATAAGGAAGAACCTCCTGACAATAAGAGCTGTTTGCAGAGTCTCCTTCTTTGGAGCTTTTTAAACAGAGGCTGGGTGGCCATCTGTCCCAGGGAGTGTTTGGACTGTGTCTTCCTGCTGGACTGGATGGTCCTTGTGGTCTCTTCCAATTCGGTGATTCTATGATTCTAGGGACGTTATCACACGGGGCTCAATCCAAACAGAATCCAAACGA